CTACTTAACAAATCTTTAAATTATCTTTCCTTAGAATAATTGCTAAATAAGGTTCAATCTCTTGACTGAAACTTATTAATATAAATGCCATCAAAATATCTATAAGAACAAAGGTTTGTGTTGTAAAAACAGACATGAAAAATGAAAATTCAGTAGACATGCACAGTTCTATAAAATGGTAGAATATAAATAATAAACAATATTTTGAATTTTAAAGATACAGGACAAAGTCATTAAACTACTCAATCCAATTAGCAGATAATATGAGATGACACAGGAAAATTTCTTCTAGACATAAAGTCTAATAAGGTACAATCAATAAATTCTTTATATAATGTAATAATAATAATAATAATAAGATATTTAATTTTCAAAATATGTGAGGAAGTCCACAAGCCAAAATGAAAAGGAGAACGTAGCAAATTTGAAACAGGGAAAGACCACAGAGTACAATATCAAAAGAATATACAATGGTTAATACATATATAAAAGATGTTTAAATTCATTAACTCTTGGAAATGCAATAGAAAAAACACAAGAATGATTAAAAACAATACTAGCAGTACCATGTTGGTAGGGTCTGGGACGCCTAAAACTTTAGTAAGTAATTAATATGTGGATAAATCAGGGAATCCACTTTCAAAAACTTTTAAGCCATGTCTACTAAATGGAAAAACAAAATACTATTAGGCTCATACACCCAGCTCATTTTTGTGCATATATTATCAAAAGATACACACAAGGGTTTTCATAGCCTTATTCTTAATAGAAAATAGTGCCATTTACTGAACTTCCAGAGAATCAGTGAAAAAAATATTGACATTCTATTAAAAAATAAAAAAAAACCAACAGCAGCCATTAATTTTATTTTTATTAAATTTAGAATTTGAAGAACTAATCAGTATGACTAGGCAAGTAGGAATTAAATAAGGATATGAGAGAAAATAAGCATAGCCTCTATGTAAACTCAAATTAGATTAAGAATAAAAATAAAAGTAAGTAATCACACTAAAAAACAGACAAAAGAAGACAAAAATTAGTAATAAAATAAACGTATGCCAATAACAAATTAGAAGGATAACAATTTAAATGAGACTATAACAATATGAAATTGATTACTAGTAGTAGCCGTAAAATTAGAAGCAAAGTCTAACTGCTATATGCTATATTTTAGAATCACTAAAAAAGAAATTTTAAAGGAAATAGGTATAACTATATACATAAAATTTCTACTATAAATTATTTCTGCTGTTGAAGAATATATACTTATTGAGTTTAATAAGTTATGACAAAACTTTGAAAATGTCTATATTGTGATATTATCAAGTGAAAATCAGCTTAATGTACTAATGGAAAATGTGAAATGTTTTATAGGTCAATGTAGGTGCAAAATAATAACTAGAAAGTAGACTACAAAAAATAGTAAAGGAATAATGCAACATGAACAATTAGATTTATTTTAGATCTGTGATATGATTTAAAGTAAAATATTTATATAAATTACCTCATAAATAGATCAAATAAACTTTTTGACAAATTATTCAAAGGAAATTAGTAAGATATAAAATCAATACTGATTTTTAAATATAAAATTTTTTAAAACTATAGATAATAATTATATTATTAATATTATAAAGCACATTCTTTAAAATAACAACTGACATGTCAGACTTCAAAGCATTAAAAAAGATTTTATCAGGAGAGGACAGTGACAAGTACCCCTTATATTACAGCTATTTATATTATTATTTTAAAAATAAAGCAATATAGTAAGAAGGAAATAAATGTAAATATTAAGAAGGCAAAGACAATATTTGTTAATGTATTCCTTAGAAAACTTATGTATAAATTTATAAATTTAGAAAAGAAATAACATGCATTTAGTGAAATGTGTATTATACATACCTACATAAATTATATTCTCCAGTTTCATTCTGTAATTATTAATAAGCAAATTTATGAATAAATGTAATATAAAAAATGTTTAGAAATATAAACCAACAGAAATAAGCTTTGAAAGAAGAAAAGAGAGAAAAGGTTAGTTCGAGAAGAATTAATTTAGAATGTAACACACATGAACAGGAAAGCAATGCGAATAAACTCCCTGTATAGCTATCTCTATTTCAACCAGCAAAAACACTTGTTCCTTCCTATTATTGCTTATACTCTCTCTTCAACAAAATTAGAGATAAGGGCAAAATAGTTTCTTCCTGGTAGTGATGGGGTAGGAGGAGAAAAAGAGGGGGCAGGGGGAAGGGGGGAGAAATGACCCAAACATTATATGCACATATGAATAAAAGAAATTTTTAAAAAAGGAAAAAAATACAATTATAAGAGAGATAGGCACCCATTATAGAACTGTTTGCATATGTAGAAAATTGTAGTGAAAAACCACTTACCCGTAATTTTAATACTCAGACATAACTTTTGGTGGTTTATAGTATATTTTGGTACCATATTTCTTCTACTTTGTGAAGATAATTTATATCATATTGTATATAAAACTTTTAAATCTACTTTTTTCATAATGTTGGTTCGTAAACATTTTACATTATTTTAAAAATCCTTAAATATAATTGTAGTGGCTATGTAATATGCACTCTTATGGATGTTATAACATTTGGGAAAAAATTTCCAGTAAATAATTCTATGATAAAAAAGTATATTGAATTCTGAGATAAAAATATATCATATTTAAAGAAAGCATATCTTTCTGAAATTAATGTGTTAATATATATTCATAGACAAAATCCCAAAAGAATGTTCTGAGTGTTGGCTTTTGGAAATATAAGAAATTTAACACTAAATCTCAAATGAATAGAGAATAACAAACCAATAGAAAATATGAAAAACAATAAATATAAAAATGTATTTTCTCTCTGAAATAAAAGAATATATAATATATTTATATGTGGATACAACTATATTGAGTGGTAATTCACTTTTTTATTCCTAAAATGATATCTATTCTACTATGAATACAATTTTAAATGTAACATAATCCAAATCATCCCTGATATAGATTAAGCCTCAAAAAGACTAAACAGAAATATGGATTGTTATAAATACATTATACAGAATTGGTGTGTCGATTAGCAGATGAATTAGACTTAACAAAAGATAAGCAATTGTCAGAAAGATGATGAAATAGAATTTCCAGCAGAATTTCCCAGAAACATCAATTTAAACAGCTATTAATCAATGAAAATAAGTGCCTTCATCATAACTAAGGAACCACATGAGAGATTATAGCACCTGGGTGTAGCAAAGAAATAAAAGACATAGTGAAGAGGGTAGGAGGACAGATTGATATCATCTGTGTTGCCTCTGCCCCACATCCCAGGCAGTGTAGTATGCAGAGGGAAACTCCAGTGTGAGACTGAGAAGAAAGTGAGAGGTAACTTTACCTCAAACCCTGATACCAAGCCTACATGAGTAAAATCCAGTGCTAGGAATGCTCCCACTGTCCCAAACTCCAGGCCAGTACTCAAAAACTGAGTCCTGAGCCCAGAATTGATGTCAGAGAGGGTTCCAAAGCACCCAGCCTACCTGATGCATGCACTCCACACTGGTGTGCCACACATAAATATTCATAAATGCAATTTAAAAAAAATTATCAGACTAGTTGCATTTAGTTTAGCTTGCTTACACAAAATAAATAATTCTTTTTACAATTTAAGTGAGAGAAACAATTTATTTAACAATACACCATAACAGTAACTATATATTTATACACATAAATACTTAGGAAAAAATCATCAACATTTTAAAAGGTTAGAGAGTAATTATGTTGGATAAAGAATTTGTTCAATACTGTTCAGTAGGTATACTGAACAGTTACTATGCTCAGAGACATAACAATGAATGAAGCAGACAAAATCTTGGTATTTATTAAATATATATGCTAATGAAAAGAAACAAAAAGCAATAGCACAAGCTATTTCCAGAAGATTGAGTAAACTCTGGAATAACATGCACAGGTCTATTTTAAATGGGCTTGGAAGTAATAATTATCCATGTGGACAAATTTTGAGATGAAATTGAACAATGAGGAAGACCTAGGCACATGAGAATTAATGTGAATAGCACTCAAGCAAAGGAAAGAGCAAATTTAAAGTCTGTGTTGAATGATAGATCTTGGCATATTTGATTCAGACCTAAAAGAGCAGTTTTATGTAAGTGATAAAATTAGAGGAGCCAGAGATAACATCTAGCGGGTTCCTTTAGGTAAAGATTTACACCGTATTCTCATTGCAAAGAGAAGTCATCAAAGAGGACTGACTCATTTGCTTCTGCATTAAGGATTGCTCTGGAAGTCTTACTAAATGGACTGTAGGGAAATATGTTTAGGGAGATCACAACTGAGCGGATTTACAGTGGTCTAGGCAGGAGGTGCTATCACCTTTGCTTAGGACTATAGTTCTCATGGGTGTGAAAGGAGCTGAATTTTGCTCCATCCAGGAAATTTTGGGCAATCTCTGGATATGTTTTTGTTTATCTCACTAAAGTGGAGAGGTAGAAATAATTGTTGGCAACTAGTGGGCCCAGGATGCTGATAAACATTGTTCAAGACTCAGGACAGAAACAAAGAATTAACTGGCCTAAAATATCAATAGTGTTGAGGCCGCGAGCTCCTGATTTCAAGTGACAGGAATGGAGAGTCTTGAAAAGTGACAGGCTGGTATAACCATGCAGAGAAATACATGCCGAGTGCCAAACACTTTTCAAGGTTACTAGACTATGTTATCAGGAAGGCTATAGATATTCTCATGAAATACTTTTGACACATCTTGAATCAGAAACTAATGTTAAGAAATTTGAGTTTCTGTTCTGTGTGGAGAAAGCACTGATCTTTATTTGCTAATTGTCCAGGAGAAATAATTTTAAAACATCAAACTCTTAAAATATTATATACTTTTTTCAAACTTGCTTATTGTTATTTAAAATGAATATTCACTCACTTTCTTATCCAATTGAAAAAGAGAGAGAAAACTACTTACTTGCCATTCAGTGCTGCTACACCAACGGTGCTCCGTGCAATGGACATGCTTGCTACAAATGTCCACTGCTGGTTCTGTGGATCCCACCTCTCCACTGTATTCAGGTAACTCCAGCCATCATGACCTCCTACAGCATAAATAGGGCCTTCAAGCACTGTTACACCTAAAACATTGGAGAAATGAATATTGTGCTTGCAGTTAACAATATTGACTTTATACACTTAAAAATCTTTTAAGAGAGAGAATGAATGCTATGTGTTATCATAATAAAATAAAAGTCAAAGATATTGAATGAATTCCCTTCAAAGTGATATTTTAAAATTTAAATTAACAGTAGAAAAGTATGATCTCATTCAACATAGAGTCTGATTGTTAAGAAAGAGTTGCAGTGAGGTAGAAACTGTCTACTGTTAACTGAATCATTCTATTAAAGTTAAAATTTAAAAGCACTGGTAAATATTATGGTCTGCATGCTTTATAAAAGAAAAGATTCCCTGATTTATGACCATATGAAGAAACACATCTAAAAATGTGATATTTTATGCTTGTGCCTCTATTTTTGAAGAGTGTTTCTATGTTGTAGTTTACAATACCTTTGTTATTTTAAACAATGCTAACTTAAATAAATGGATATTATGAATTCGAATTTAAAGTTAGTCTTCTGTGTGTTTTGGCTTTCCAATAACTTTATGATAAACTTATTTATGGCTTAGAAAGTAGACATCTTTCAAATTATTAATTGACATCATGAAATGCAAGTATTTTTAACCAATAAAATTAAGAGCAAGTCATTAATGAGAGTATATCATACAATTCCCACTCATTGATGTTCCTCTAAATTCATTTCTTCGTAGACAAATTTTCTTAAATGTTGAATACACACTAAATATTTTAATGTCATGTCCATATTGATTGAAGTGGTTTCTTTATCTGTGGAGAAATTCTGATGGATATACCCAAAATGGATAACATTAACTATATATGATTGACAAGGACTTTGAAGTGCCTGTCAATTACCCTACTTCAAAGTTGACAGTTTTCCCAAAAAAAAAAAGCTGACAGTTTAGATTGTTACAAATTTATGCATATTGCTAGAAGACAAGACTGCTAGGTCAAAGTGGAAGGGCGATTTGTATTCATAGCAATCTCAGTAGTCAAAGCAACACAAATTTTGGTTTTTCACTGGTTCCCAGAGTTTCAATTCCCAAAGGAAAACCATAGAAAGTAAGAAAGCTGGACTTTAAGGTTTCTTTCAGTTTGACCAAATTTTAGAGAGGTTCTTCTTGCTTCAAGAGCACTGAGCACATTATTTCTCTGCTATTTTGTTATTTAAATCCTTTTAAAAAGCTCTCACCAGTTCTAAGCCTTTGATTGTCTTTCTCAGGACCTGAGAGTAGTCCCTCTTAAATAAGAAGACAGTGCTACATCTCCCTACTTCTCTGCAAAACTGAGAGCCTAAGTTCAATTAACACCTTGCTCCAAATGCTAAAATTACATATAGAAAAGGAGAATGTTTCTTTGTCTTTTGTAAGACCAATTAGCAAACTCAAATTTCCTAGGAGACCCCCACTTGTCTGAGCTCTTAAAAAATCACTTTTTAGTGGAGTTCAGTTGAGCTAGAGTTCTACTTTCTTTTCTGTATTGTAATAATCATCAAAAAGGCTTTCTTGCCCACTTGTGCCTTCTCAGTATTATTTTCGCTTGAGAAAGTTCAAATGAAACCTGTATAGGCAGTGGTTTCTATTACAGGAAAGGAAAAATAATTTATAGTGGCCCATAAACAAGCAAAACCTTTATTTTGGAAGGAGACATTATTTTTAAGTTATAAGCATACTAGTCTTCTAATTTGGGTCTATATTCAAAGAATATACACATATGACATCAATTTTTTTAGAGGAGTAAATGCAGCTGTGCACATGTATCAACAATAAGTAAAATTATTGAGATGAAGATTAAACACCAATGAAATTTGAACAGCAATGCTGGAATCCTCATTTTACTGACTACTAGTCAAATAAGTACTATACTTTAGGATAGGCTGTGAGCTTTAGATTAAGTAGGGCATATTTTTATTGGTTTCTTCTATCTTTCCTCATGAAAATATAATTATCAGAAAGTACCATATCTAATAAAGCTAATGCATTTGGATTTATTCTAAGAGCAAATGCAAATCAGTGAAGAGCTTTAAACATATGGAGAGTCTTATACATACATTTTGGTCTTTTTAGGGCAATGGGTTGGAGTTAGATTGAAGATGACTAGAGGGAAATTGTAGTTATCCAAGAATAGAAGTTGGTGTTTTTGACTAATAGAGGTCAGTACAAATAGGCAAATGAAAAATGTTTCAGCTGTATTCTGGATATATTGCTATTGGAACTTGCTGGTAGGTTGGCTGGGTACATGAACCAAAGGATGTATTAGTAATAAAAATTATTAGGCAATTCAGTAAATTTTAGGGAGAAAAGAAGTTTAGAAAACTATTTTAGGAGAGAATTAAATATTTATTTCTTATTTATATTTATTTACTTATTTATTGTGGTACTGGAGATTAAGCTCAGAGCCTTATGCATTTGGAGGTAAATATTCTGCTATTTGAGCCACACCCACAGCAAGAACCTCATTTTTATCTGCCATGTTTGAGGGAAGTGTAAGATATCTAAGAGGGCATTTAAATAGGCTGTTTAATGGATATTACTGCAGTTCAAGTCAGTATCACAGTTACTGGTATAAATTTTGAAATCATCAGTAGTTTAGGGATACTTTTAAAGGCATAGAACTTGATAATATCAATTAGGAAAAAGATATACACAAAGAAAGTAATAGAGACCAAAATCTATCACCACTTAACTTCGATACTGGTTTATATTTAGCTTTTAAGTTTACTGGCCTTTTATTTCAGAGAGAGGAGCTATCTCAGACTTCCTAGTGTTTTTATTATAATAATATCCTTTCACATCTAGCACAAAACAACAGAGAGAAAAAATGTCAGAAAGTAAGTGGGAGGGAAACCAAAGCATTTTGGGTACTGTAATCATTTAACTTTTATACCAATGGCACATTTCCATTGGATTTGGAAAGAGAGACGTTCTCACTGACTCTGAGAAATGGGTTCTGGAGCAATACTGTACAAGTTTCAATTCATTCTGGTTTAAACTTTGCTATATGTCTGAGAAACAACATCAATTTGTGACTTATTTGTTCTTTTTTTTAATTATTCATTTATTCATATGTGCATTCATTGTTTGGGCCATTTCTCCCCACTTCTCCCCACCACCTCCCTCTCACCCTCATCTCCCCTTGGTTCTAGACAGAACCTGTTCTGCCCTTTTCTCCAATTTTGTTGAAGAGAAGACATAAGCAATAATAAGAAAGACAGTGTTTTTGCTGGTTGAGATAAGGATAGCTACACAGAGAGATTCCTAGCATTGCTTCCATGCACAAGTATATTACAACCCCAATTGATTCATCTCTATCTGACCTTTTCACTAGTTCCAGATCACCTTCCTATATTGATCTCTGTCAATTTAAGGTTTCTGTATTAGTTCCTCTACAGTGGGGACATCAAACACTTTCAAGTTTTGAGTTTCCTACGTATCCCCATACATACTGGGGGTATGTGTTCTCCCCTTAGCGTGTGACCCAAGCACAACAAAACTGCTGCAATTGCTCTACATCTAAAGTCTGTATATGAGGGAGAACATACGAGTTTTGATCATCTGAGCCTGGCTAACTTTGTTCAGAATAATGTTCTCCAGTTCCACCCATTTACTTGAGAATAATAAGATTTCATTCTTCTTCATGGCTGAGTAAAACACCATTGTGCATAAGTACCACATTTTCTTAATCCATTTGTCAGTAGTGGGGCATCTTTGCTGTTTCCATAACTTGGCTATTGTGAATAGTACTGAAATAAACATGGTGTGCAGGTGCCTCTGGAGTAACCTGTATCATATTCCTTTGGAATTTGTCCTTAATCATTGAAGATTACTTGATTTTATGGAAATATTTCACTCTGAAATTATAATTTACATAAATTCTATAGCAGTTATTTTGATGATATTTTAATCATAAGAATACGACCACGTACTACTACCTAGGTTGTTTCCATTCTAGAATAAACTCTGGTGCCACTCTCCATTAATATCAGTCTCCTTCCAAGGAAACTCTTTTTTTCTGATTTCTTTCCTTATGTAATAATTTTTCTTCTTTCAAGTTATAAATTAAATTGTCATTTTTTGAGTCATCACTCTGTAAAGTTGCATTTCTAACACTTTTATTTAAGCATCCAAGTGAGTTAATCCCTTATCCTTTTCCTTATGTATTGTTATAAACTATGGGTATTACTACTTTAAAGATCTCTTGCTTTGCTGATGGAAATTTTCCTTGTTTCCACTTTAGGGATTTAAAAAAATTAATCTCAAATATATACTTTGTTGGAGCACATATGAGCTCATTTCTCTGGATGTGAAATTGCTGTGTCACCACTATTCTTAGGTTGAAATTTCGGTAGCTACAGTCAGAAATCTTTCCAAAGGATTTTCAAACCAATTTTTAATTACTCCTATAAAGGAAAAGAAAAATGTTGACTAAATATCACACCCAAACTACATTTTTAAGCCTTACTGCAGTAATTTTATGACATAGAATTTTAGTGTTTTCGTATTTGTTTGATACATTATCCTTTTCATTTTTCTTCAATAGTATATTGGTTCTTATGTATAGAATGTTTTATATTTGCCATTTCTCAGTGTTGAGGTTCTTGTTGAGAGAACACAAAAACTTCAGTTGGTCAAATAGTTGGTCAGATTCTCAAATAAGCCTCACATGAATGAGAGCTCTCACGTACCACCAAGATTTCAAAGATAAATGGGATCTTGTGGCACTTAAGAGGCAGGTAGATGTCCTGGCCATTTCATCCATGAATCTCCTTCCTTTCCAGGATCTTACTCCCTTTTGTATGGCCTCCATGAAAGTTTTAAATGCTAATTTCTGCCATTCATGAACTTCAGGGAGTCCTAGTTACAAGATTTTGGTCCCTGCCTCTTTGAACCTTTGATATAAATATCTATAGGAAGCAGAAATACATTTTGAGTTTATCTTAGTACTGTTACCATCTCTTTTGAATCTTGCATTTCTGTCTCAAGTACTAACTACCTTATTTTC